TTTTTTTTTTTTTTTTTTTTTTTTTTTTTTTTTTTTTTTTTTTTGGAATTTTCCCTCGGGTGATAATACTTTTGCAAAATTACCACGCGAGGTCATTCATAAATAGTCGAGTACCTTCTATTGTTACAGAATGTACAAAAAAAAAAAAAAAAAAATAAGAACTTCACTAGACACTATTATTAATCTAAAATCACAACAAATCTAAGAAATTATCTCCACAACGTGTTCCCAATTTTTCCCCAATATTTCTAAGATTTCCGTCGGGCATTCAAATGTCGCGTCGATCAATATTTATTAAAGCTGAAAGTTCACCGTATACTTTCCGAATGTCTCCACAGGCATAGATTGCTGAGAGTATTTACATAATATTATTACGATTATAGACAGTTTGTAGAAAAAAACACGGGACAGAGTCTATTATTCTGTTACAGATTTATAACAGGAAACGTCTTGTAACTTTGAAACTAACAATTACTTTGAGTAACCTAACCTAAATCTAACCAAAGTTTTAAATCTCTCGTTTATTGAGACTTCGTTGTTCCTGTTTCGAAGAGTACCACGCGATCCCAAAGAATTTTTGTACATCCTTAGCGAGATCTTAGAAAGATCGAGATAAAAAGATCTTTCGCATATTATGATGTGTTGGAACACTTGTGCTATAAGATTTTTAGGAATATTACTCATTCTTTACGGACAAACATGGAGAATGTTTTTCTGCTGCAACTGCTGATTTTCATGCATTTACGAGGAAGATACAGAGAATACGCACATAATATTAGAAAGTACTATAATAGTGAAATATTGTTATAATATTTAGCAGAAATATATAGTCGTCATTCTTTTTTTTTTTTTTTCTAATTGCGTTCACAAACATAAGAAACTGCTAATACAAAACAAAAATACAAATACTTCTAATCAAAATTTCCCCGTTTGCGCGTGAAACTTGAAATTTAAATTCAAATTTCTAAATTTCTAAATAGCGCGCCTATAACAAAGGATACAAAGCCACTGCATAATACTGAAGCGACCTGAATGATTCATGAACGTGGAAACAAAATAATCGACGAACAGTTAGAATTTATTTCGAATATATATTAAAAGACTGCTACAAGTCTAATTGTAACCTCGAAAATACAACAGAGATACAGAAATGATGAGATTTGATCGAATTTCTCCCCACTTGCGCGCGACAAGTTTGTAAATTTTAAATAAAGCATACAAAGCCACTATAATAATATAATAAAGGATATGAAACCACTGTATGACTTAGGTGAACCTGAATAATTCACGAACGTGGACAAAATAATTGACGAACAGTTAGAATTTATTTCGAAGGAACTGAAAAACTGCCAGCTACACAAGTCTAATTGTAACCTCGAAACCTAACCTCGAAAATACAACGGAGATACAAGTGATGAGATTTGATGAATATTTTGCGCGTGACAAAGAATATAAAAAAAAATACTGCATAACCTGTGAAATGACCTGAATACAGGGCAAAATAACTGATGAACAATTATAATTCAATTCCGAGAGGGATAGAATGAAGAATTGAAACCAGTCCAGATAATCATCCGGTTTACTTTTAAACGGTCGACGCGAAATTATTATTCATTTGTGGGTCAATTTTATATAATTGCACGCGCGATACGTTGAATGGCATTACTCCATGAAGCAGAATTGTAACCTCGAAACCTAACCTCGAAAATACAACGGAGATACAAGTGATGAGATTTGATGAACATTTTGCGCGTGACAAAGAATATAAAACACTACTGCATAACCTGTGAAGTGATCTGAATACAATTATAATTCAATTCCGAGAGGGATATAGTGAAGAATTGAAACCAGTCCAGATAATCATCCGGTTTACTTTTAAACGGTCGACGCGAAATTATTATTCATTCGTGGGTTAATTTTATATAATTGCATTACTCGATGAATGCATTACTTCATGAAGCAGATCTATCTATAAAAGCGACCAACACCACGAACGCTATTTACCCGCATTATATCACGGTTAAACGTGCCTTTTCAAAAAGATCAAAGGTTCTATTCAATTCAGATTTAGGGACTGCCTCTGTGTATATAGACACTTGTTGATGACCCTTTTCGGCCATGCAAATGTTAAATCACACGTCTTGTCACGTTCTATTCGGGAGGATTGAAATCTCGCGAACTCGTCGACGAGAATTTGATGAATGTAGGTGAAGCGTGCAACACACGACGTTCTTTTTTCTGGAGATTTCAACTCAAACGTATATCATTGGAACGTTAGCTATTATTAAGGATAATACTAATATTATCAAAGATCGTGGTTCTTCGTTATTGAGAAAGATGTTTGTTACCCAGCGATTGTGATTCATTTCAGAAAGCGAAGATTATCATTTTGGAACCAGGAATATACATATCGCGTCACGTTATTATACTCATTTTTTTTTTTTTTTTTTAGATTAATCCGATATTGAGGATAACACAAGGAATCACCGACACGTTTGAATTTATCGTATCACTCGAAAGATAAAACCACCTTAATCGCCGTGGTAATTATTTATCAATTTTATCGCTCCACTTTATTTCCGTTCCAGTCGAGTTCACTTTCTTTTTCTTTTTTTCTCTCTCTCTCTCTCTCTGCTGCTGCTGCTGCTGTTCAAAAGTCAATGCCACTCGTTCGTCAGAGTCGATGGTTTTTCTCAAAGAAGCGCGCAGAGGCGAATAGAAAAAAAAAGTAGATGATGGTGACGATCACACACGGTTATTAACAAAGAAAACTGCAAGCTACCAGCAGAGATACACGTGATACACGAAGAGAAAGAGAGAGGGGGAGAGAGAGAAAGAGAGAAAGAGAGAACCGCGATCCGATCCGCTCGATGATCGAACGTCAACTGGATCCTTGACTTGCCGAGTAAACCAGTTAATACAGCCAGATACCAATTACTTCACCCGTCTTCCGGCCCACCTTTTCGCTGTGCTCTCGGTCGATCTCTTCTGGTTCACGCGTAGCAGAGTGGCTCTTTTCAACCAGCACCAGGCAGAAACGAAAACACTCGAAATAGGATCTCGAACGCGTCGTTGTTAATTAAAATTTCACGGTCACACCCGGTATTTACGTTGTCGTCGTCGATTTGGGAATAAACGGGGCAAACAGAGAGAGAGAGAGAGAGAGAAGGGCTCGTGCCAGAGAAGTGAACTATGAACTATCGTCCATCGTATTATTACGTAATTAATAGTAATTTATCTCCAAGTAGTTATTGCCTTTTTTTTTTCTTTTTTTTTTCAGTTGCTCAATATCAGACGCTGTACGCCGTTTTCCATCGTTTCGCAATGCGTGTAATTTACACGTGTGTTCAAAGAAGAAAAATGAAATGGAATTCCCTTCGTTTGCAGACGACGTTACATTTAGATTGGACAGATCTAGAATCAAGGTTATGCAACTAATTAAACAATTAAGCCAAACGAGTTGTAAAGACCAGACGAAAGTTCACTTTCTAAGGGAACGAATTTCATCATTTGCGCCATCTTTTTTTTTTCAACACAACTATCATTAAACTGTCTACACAATTATTAAATTAAGAAATAGTTAAATATGATAATAGTTAAAATATATATTAATTTAACTATTAATTATTATTAATATTATTAATTATTAATAGTCATATATAATTAATTCAACTATAATTATTTAATTATTTGAAATATGATAATAAATTTCGAGAAACATGCTGCTCAATCTGTAAGCAAGGATTGACCAGTTAACTGCGGAATTTAGTTTTAAAAATCCAGTGATTACAATGACGAGTATACACGTCGAACACAGGGAAAATGCTCCTGTGATAAGTTTCACGGAAAAAGTAAAGCAAAACGAGGAAGAATTACATCTTTATTCGATAAAGAATTAACGATTTGAAAATCGTCTTTGAAAAG